TGAATTGAGTTAGAGAATGACCCGAGAGATTTGGAAGGCATAGGAGAGGGGAAAAGAGTGGGAAGTGGGCCCCATTGGCTCATAAAACAAGGCCACAAAAGACGAAACAGAAAACTATCATGCAACATGAATTACTGAAATACCCTTTACGTTTGTAGTTCCGTAAAATTTTAACCGTAACTCCGATTTCGATTCTGCTTACACCTATGCGTTCATACCGTCGAGTACAACATAAATACGCTAAAAGAATGTTTTATACATCTCCTCATACGGTGGTAAACAAAAGTTAAAATTCTAGCATCTAGGGACATTTTGGTCACTTCACACATTTAAAATTAATAAAATCATAAAATTAAGGACGGGTTGTTACATGGGCTTAGCCTCACAATGGGCTAAGAATAATGTGGTTCAAATTAGCTTTTGGCGAGAATCGAGCCTAAGACATCTCACTTACAAGTAAAAAGGAATATCACTAGGTCGTAATACTAAGTGGCTACTCAAATGGTATTAGGTATCACATAAGTACAACACGCAAGTAGAAAACTTCAGAAAATATTTACAAAATTAGAAACGAAAATTTTATTTGAACTCATATAATTCACTTTACACTCAACTCTCTTTACACCCTTTTTTTTTTTATTAAACTATCATATCTCTTTAAACCCAGATTTACTATCTAAAGTACCCTCACACACCTAATTCAATATGTAAGTTTATCTTTATACCCATTTAAAAATAAAAGACAAAAAATTTAATGTCTAAACAAAGCGTAGGAAAATTTTCTAAAGAGTCACTAGAGAGAGAGAGAGAATGTGGAATGGCGTAAGAAATTTCGTTGCTCTTTTTCTCCACCAAATCAACTCAAGCGTTGATATGTTCAAAATATTCTTTTAGTTTGCAAAAATTTAGTGTTTTTTAATAGTATAGAGTGTTTGAAGTGAGTTATAAGTTGAATGAATGGAGAATTGTGAGAAAATTGAATTGGGTTGTGGTGTGGGTTTCATTTGCACCTAGTGCTCCGGGCATGTTTATTGTTTGACAAGATTTTTCCAAGTCCGATTACCCAATTTGGTTATCTGATTTCAATTTTCTCCTAGAGTGATGATTGTTTCCTCTTAGGAAGAAAAATTTGAAGGATCAGAAACTTCAAAATTACCATCCATCTGTCAAAAAGAGTTTGTTTTTCTCTATGACAAAATCTTAGGGTTTTAGCCAAATTAGAACCTAGAAGAAAGATTGCATGGGTTGATTATTGGATGTGGATTTATTGATAAATTTTAGTTTTTGTGATAATTTTATCTAGTACTTGATGGTAATTATATAATAAGATTAAAAAGACAATTCACATTTAAAATTAAGCTGAGTGTAAAGTGAGGTCATATGAATTCAAATAAAATTTCCAATTCAGAAAGTATGTGTTGTTAAAGAGACATCTAAGCGATATTACATAAAGACTTTCTAAGTCGAAAAACAAAACTTTAATGCACCAATCACTTCTAATTAACAAGTGCCTCTTAATGTTCCCTAACATCTCCCTTTAATGTTGTATTAACGAAAGATTTTTCAAAGTAGACAGTATTCAAGTGGGTAAATCATGTGTCATAAAACCAGGGGTAAATTACACAAAATTACCTCAACTATGGGTCAAACGACACTATCATACCTCATTTTTTTTAAATGACAATGTCATACCTCATCTTACGAATTTGTGACAATGTCAAACCTCCATCAGTTTTTCTGTTAATTTATCTGTTAAGTGCTGACGTGGCTAAAGATGGGGGCCACTCACTAATCCAAATGGATTAAAATATAATTAAATATATTTTTAATAATTAAATATTAAAAAATTAAAAATAAATCATTTTTTATATATAAAATACTTCCCACCCGTCCCTCCCCCCCCCCCCCACCACCCTCTCTCTCATCTCTTTCTCTTCTCTTTCCCTGTAACCTGCATTCCTAAAATCCCAAAACCCAGAAACCCTTCACACCCGTCCCCCCCCCCAACCTTTCTCCACCACCCACCCTCTCTTTCTCCTCTTGCTTTCTCCCCTCTCTTTTCTCTTTCTTTGGGCAACATGCATCCCCAAAATCCCAAAACCCATTACAAATCTCAAAACCCAAAATCTCATTAACCTCCCAAATCTGGAGAAGGCGGTCATGTTCGACTTCGACCTCACCCTTCCTATCCAGATGGTGCAGGGATTAAAGAGAGATGAACTGTCTCTGATTTGGGGCTAGGGATTAGAGAGAGAGGAGTTTCTCTGATTTGGGGCTAGGGATTAGAGAGAGGAGTTTTTCTTATTTGGGGGTGGGCTTGGGTAGGGAGAAGGGGGTGGGGAGAATGGGTGTGTCTGATTTAGGAAAGGGCTCCGGTGGGGAAGACGAACTTTTTTTTTTGTACATAAAGAGGAGCTGCAGGTGAAGCCATCATCGACCTCCTTGGGATCGAAGAGGGTGGGTGGTGGAGGAACGTTGGGGGGTGGGGGATGGGTGGGAAGGGTTTCTGGGTTTTGGGATGTGGGCTTGGGTGGGTAAGACGAACTGTTTTTTTTTTTTTTTGTACATGAACAGGGACCAGCTCGAGGAGTTGCGAGTGAAGGCACCTCCTTGGGATCGAAGAGGGTGGATGGTGGAGGAAGGTTGAAGGGGTGGTCAGGGACGTGTGGGAAGGGTTTCTGGGTTTTGGGATTTTAGGGATGCAGTTTGCAGGGAGAGAGAAGAGAGAGAGAGAAAGAGAGAGAGAGAGAGAGAGAGAAAGTGTGGGTGGTGGGTGGTGGGGTGTGGGGGGGGACGGGTGGGAAGGATTTTATATATAAAAAAAAAATTAATTTTTTTAATATTTAATTATATTTTAATCCAGTTGGATTAGTGAGTGGTCCCTGTCTCTAACCACGTCAACACTTAACAAATAAATTAAAATAAAAACTGATAGAGGTCTGACATTGTCACAAATTCATAAGATGAGGTATGACATTTTCACTTTTAAAAGATGAGGTATGAAAGTGTCGTCAGACCAATAGTTGAGGTAATTTTTTGTCATTTACCCTAAAACCATTGGATGCACATAAAAAATATATCTTTTCTTTCACTTATATTGTAATAAGAAATTTTTTTATTGTGTCTAGAATAGTGATATACCACGTGTTATTATACAAGTAAAAAGAAATTTTATTTTTAAATTATTAGTAGTGACACATGATGTATCATATCGCGTTCTAAAAAAACTCTATATTATAACAAGAAAAAGGACTCAAACGTGGATTATTTTGTTTTGAGAGGCACTTGAAACGAGGTTATTTTGTTTTGAGCTTTGACAAGCATACTGTTTTGGCACTTGAAAATATATCAATTTTCAAGTACCAATTGAATATTCGGTAGTTGGAAAATTCTCTTGTTATTAGCAGTTGACAAAGCCAATTCTTTTGGCAATAATATTGGAAACAAGAGAGAGAGAAAGAAAAAAAAAACTTTATTCTATAACAAATTGCAATTTAGTTCATTTTCGACAGAATAAATCTAATTGTTGCCCTATTTATATATTAATTTATGGTTATGGTTCGATACAATACAACGATATATTTACACAAATAAACAGGAGATTTTTTTTTTTTTTTTGTCAAAGGAAGGGGGCAGTTTGGCTAAGCCACACAATAGCAACATAATTTGGTATCAAATTCGTCATTCATAATATTCAAATATAAAATCTCTTACTTACAAAAAAAAAATGTAACCGTATTGTAGCACTAAGTGACTTTCGTAATTATGGTTGGATATTGGAATCTTTACCTATTCGTCAATTTTAAGAATAGGATAAGACATTTGAACCAACCACTACAAAGGCCAACTCAATTACGTACAACATATCATCAACAAACACCCTTCTCAAATCAAGGACAGATGTCCTTGTATATGTGTATAAAACTATATTAATCTTCCTACATAAAATTATAAAAAATCTTGTGGAGAAAAAGAGAAAAGAAAGCTGTATGCAGCTGTAGGCACTAAGAAATATGAAATCAAGGGACTGTATACCCTATGACTCATCTATGGGGCCCTGGAGAAGGATTTACCTATCACAGGAACTTATCGAATATTTCTTGTGTCTTTGTCTCACTCCTCCACGTGATAGGTTTTTTGCTCGCCCTTCCTTTTTTTTTTTATTCTTTTTCTTTTTTCCCCTAAAGAATTTTTGAGTTTCATTGAGCCAAGAGAGTTCCAAATCAGTTGCCTAAAATAATGCTCAATTGTACACTTTAGAGGGTCCAGAGCTTCTGTATTCTCTTGTGGAACTATAACCCTCCAAAGCATTTGCTAGCACAAGCAACCAAGCCACTCCCTCCCCTTCCTTCATCAACTAATTCAACCAACTAGGAATTCCAAAAAAAAAAACAAAAACAAAAATTAACAATTAACAATTGTAATAGTAAAATAACACCTTAAACAACTCATAAATTGGACCCCTTCTTATTTGGTGCCCCAACTAGCATGGCTTTCCATATTCATTGAATACATTACGCAAACAACAACCAGAACTCTTCCAAATTCCATATGTTCCACTCCCCCATTTCTCCTCCCTCAACCTCTCCAATACATCCTAAATGCCTGCCCTCTATTTCCTAGGAAAAACTCCAAGAACATCAAGACGAAGCGAGGACGATTCTGAAGAATTTAGACTCATGCAGCAGGCTTTCATTTTGCAGAATATTCCTTTGGTGATGTGATTTTGGTTTACCTTCTCAAAACCTAAGCCAACAATATTAACATGTCTCTTCATTTCTTAGGCATATTCTGCCGCCACCTCTTTCATTGCACCATGCAAATTGTTTATTGCCTTTGAGTTTGTGGGATTTTTTTTCAGATTCTTTATTTGTTATGAATTGTGGGAGGTTTGTATAATAGGTGCCTTAATGGATGTGGAGCACAGATGGATATATGTGATTGCAATTCAAGAAGAATTTAACAATAAAATCACGAGACTCTCAGGGTTGCATTGATTGATGGAGTTCTTCAACTGGTGCATAATCTGGCTGATGATCTTACTTTCTTTGTCATTTCCATTGCGGTCATGCGCGCAAGCCTCGAATGGCTATGATCCTTTATCCTTGACTAATTTCCTCCGTGATTACGCAAATGCAAATCTAAGTAACCCTCACACCGGCACGCTGAACAACATTTCTCTCCCGGCTAATTTTTCCGGCATGGAAGCTTCATTTGTTAGGATCCTTACTGCAAAGTTTTGGAGTAGAGGTGCAAATTTCAGTTCATTTTATATCCCACCAAGGGTTATACCAATACCTTCTGGCAGAAGGTTAGCTATAGTGTTTGAAAATTTAGGCAATTGGTCTTCACTTTACTACAAAGTGTCAAATTATACATTGGTTGCTCCTGTTGTTGGATTCATGGCTTATGATTCTCCAAATGCAACAGCAATTGGCAACCAGAAGCTCACTTTCACTACCGAGGGTGACCCCATCACAATCCGGTTTCCTCACATTGATGCTGCGGAAGGGGAGAATGTGACACGAAAATGTGTCCAATTTGGTGACGGGGGGAGCTTTGAGATCACTAACATGATTAGTGAAAAAGAGTGCATTACGCGCGGTCTAGGGCATTTCAGTGTTGTTGTTCCATCCCCGTCAGCACCAGCACCAGAACCGTGGCCAGGGTGGAAGAAAAAGAGGCACCGTAAACTGTTTGTGATTGGAATTGTGTTTGGGTTAGCATTTTTGGGGTTGATAATGATAGTTATATTCAAGTTGCAGACGAGGAGGAAACTTAAATCTATGGAGAAGCAATCTGAAAAGGATGTGGCGTTCGATACATTTTGGGTTGGGAGAAGTAAAATGCCTTCTGCATCCATGACTAGAACTCAACCCTACCTTGAACATGAAGATGTTCCTTGACTCAAATTTTATTTCTGGTTCTTTCCTTTGTGTACGCCTTCTCTTTCCATACAAACTTGTAATGGTGAAGTAAATTTATTTATGAACTTTAGAATGATGACAGAAAAGTATTCTCAAGTTTGTAATGTCGTGCCAATGTTGTTACCGCATCTCTACCTCAGAAGATAATTTAATTTGTCTTGTAACCGGTTGTATATCCTCTTCAATCTCTTATCTCTCAGACTACATGCGAGAGGCGTCGTGGTTTTACTTTGCTGACAAATAGTTTTCAAGTTCTAAACAATTTGGTAAGTACTTTTAAGTTCAGTAGTAAAAAAAAAAATGCATGCATGTTTACTTGGAGTGTTTTCAGAAGGGACGGCAGCTTGGCTTTTGTGCCTGTAACATTCAACAGATAAAACGTAGAAGACAAATTTAAAAGGTTCCTTTAGAATAAAATGATTGGCAGTTTGCAGCATTTGAAATTGTAAAAGTTATACATTAATGCGTAAGAATATGATTACTCTAACATAATCTACATTAGCCAACAACCGATCCATCAGCATCGAATAATTTTTGTTATTTAAAGAGAAAGTGACCTGGGTTTAGCATATAGTTTTATAGCCTATCTCCATCATGATTAGTGAATCCTGAAATAGAAAAACGAAGATTCCACATAGCGTTTCAAGAATAAGACATCAATTCAACCAACAAAACCCGGCACCTTATAATTTATTACGTGCATCAGAGAATAGGCACATGTTCATTGTTTAGATAGAAGAAACGAAGTGGGTTAGGCTAGTAGGTCATGACATTACATCTATCATCTGACAACCAAGTTCACATTTCCCTTCTCGTTAATTAGAGTAGCTTAAAATTGCTTTTCAAAAAAATTATAGGAAAAACGATAATTTTGGTCTTGTAGTTTGGCCTTGATTTCAATTGAAAGCTTTAACTTTCTTGATTTCGCGATTAGTTTAAGGTTTTAACTCTCAGGTTCTGAAGTCGCCTTAAAACCCAAAATGTAAAACAAACACTTTGGAAAATAAAGTTTTACGTTCTTGTAGAATGAGATTTTGTAGGTAGATAAACCAGAGCTTTCATAATCCAGTCAAATCTTTGAAAGAAAAAGGATTTGCTCAAGCTATAGGGTGGAGGTCCCAGAACTGCTGAAAGCGAAAAAAGGGAGCCATTGAGGATAGCCCATGTGTAGACAAGTATATGTATAAGGATCGATTACAACTAAACCAATATGACAGTGCTTAAAACGATAATCAAAACTATGCATGACCATATTAAATGCAGTATGTGCATGATTAGAGTTTGTGACAGTATAAGAAATATATTTACTTGGAGTGGAAGACAGTGAAGCCATGATCTTGTCTTCTCTTCTCTTGGATTCAGAAATAGTATCTCAATACTCTCAATAGGACTGGTATTCGATATGAGAACAAGCAGTACCCGAGAAGAGAGACCAAAATCGACTTTATATACTGCAACTGTATCTCCCTATCAGAGATGCAGTTGCTGTCAGTTTGTGTAGGTTACAACTGCCTTTTATTTGAATTGATAACTACCTTTAGTTTTCCCTCTAATATAGAATTAATCCGGTGTAATTCATATAATTGAGTCCTTACATAATACAACCCTTTCACTTGTATATCTGCACTGTGGTTTAAATGACACACATATAAGTCATTCTTACACCATGATGTTAGCTTGTTTGCAGCTTCTGTGGCATGGACTCCATCCCAGCTCACATGGTTGTAAGGGTCACTACAAGCTGTTGCAGACACAGGGCTCCCATTGATCACCTTTGTGTTAAGACCATCGATCTATTCTATGGTAATGATTAGTAAGTTTGTGTTTCGTTGTAACTTTATTAGGAAATGTCCTCTTGTTGGACTGCGTGACAATAAGTTGTCAGATTGATTGTGCACTATATATTAGTTTGATTCGTTTTGAGTTTGTGATCCAGATTCATAGTCTGACAACATAAGTATTTATCTGTCAATATAAGTTTGTCAAAACAAAAAAAGAAACATTTCTCTTAAGATATAAAGCCTAGTTGAATAGAAAACCTTGATTGGGAGCTATACCATGAGATGTGGGATGTCTAAAGAGCTCTAGCAAAACAGAGAAGTGTCTGCATATATGTGGGAAGCATTTGGAAGGAAGCCTCTAGTTTGGCTAAGTGCCGCCTTCAACATGTTATTGTGGTCCACAACTGCATTCCTGTAAGCAATTGAGCATCCAAATGCATCAAGTTCAGAAGGAGGAAGCCCCGCCAGAGATGATGGATAACAACCCACTGGTGCCAGATTTAGCACCAGAAATGCACGCCCTCCTAATCCATATAGTTCCCATAGATTTTGAAAACAAATATAAGCAATGTGCAAATGTCATAGTTCTTTAATATTATAACGGTAACTGTATGTTTTATTCTCCAACAAATATTTGTGTTGCAACATTGTGACCTAGATCACAAATTTTGACAAAAATTCTAATTAACAATCTAGTAAAAAGAAAAGTCTTTATACTGCCAAACAGTTCAGCAAGAGAACATTTTCATATAACCGTAAACATTATTTTTGCTTCTCAAATGTCGCATGCAATAATGATTGAGGAACGCTTTGCCTCTCCTCTAAGGAGAAAAAACTATGCACCCATTGCATGAAACAACATGCCTCACTTTTTTATAACATGCGAGTAGCACGTGACCATGAATGTGAGATACTCGTTTTATGCAACCAGTAAAGGAAAGCTTTTCTCCCGTTGATGATCAAGCCCAAAGCTCATTTACCCAACATAAATTATAGAATCAAGTACTGGCTCACCTTGATGGTACAAGCAATTTGTAAGACCACTTGAGGAAGATATTGCTTCACTCCACCCACACCAATGGCTCCCAAATTGGAGGTGAAATAGTTTTGGCCAATGTATAAGGTGTAGTGATTTCCCAATAACATCCCGGGAAGGAAGTCTTGTCAGTTCTAAGCAACAACAATCGAAGTAATCAGAACCAACAACAAACGAATAATCAGAACCAACAAAAACCGGCATACGAACGTAAATTAAGACAAATTGGTCAAGACATTGTACTCATGTGTATATGCTCACCTTGTTGATCCGAGGAGTGGTGAAACTCTTCAACTTGGATTCCAGTAACAAGTGAGGAAGCGTTTGGCAAAAGCACAGTGTATGCCAATGTTGCATAGTTTGCCCCATGCTTGTAGTCAGGTCCAATTGATTTCAAATATGGGCTTATACATGGCAACCCTAGAGCTTCGGCTGCCAAAGTTCAATGCCAAAAAGCATAAAATCAGATCTCATATCTGCCGTTTAGTAATTTTGTGTTCGACACTAATACACATCTTCGGATTATCATCGATATCACGTGGCGTCATTTTCTTAGCAACAAACACATTGTGGCTCGACATATCTAATAAATACTGCTCTAAAAGTTCTGCACAATGTACAATCTAAGGTTTAGCTTAGCGTGGAGACATGTATACATGAGTTAGGTCAGTTGGTCAGAGTAGTGTGTCCACATGTATGCTTCCAATTCAAATCTTCTTTGCATAAATTAGAGTAGTTTTGATTATCGGTTGTATAAAAAAGATAGGTCTAACTTCACCTATGATGATTTTAGATATTTTCCATTACATGCCTTAACATCAACATCATTCTTTGATATAATTAGTGATACAAAGGAAAATTGAGCAAGAAAATGACTTGTGATTAGTCCAAACTTTGTCCAGTTTTGGAGGTGTAATTGACCTGTCAAATGGAGGGCCTCCCGTATGTTACAGGATTAGGAAAATATCAAGCCAAATGACAAAATTGCTGAACAAATACAAGCAATAAACATGCATGAAATCTGACCTCCTATTCCTAATAACCAAAGTCTCTGTTTGGCTGGAAAAGTAGTGGGAAAACACAAGAAAAATGGAACCAAACAGAAGATTGAGTAAGTTACCTAGAAAATCAACAATGAGCCTCCCATCCGTAGCCCGACCAACAGGTCTCTTGAAATAGGTCATGACATAAAGTCCAGATTGCGCCGGAAACGTTGCCCAAGACCCATCTACATCCAAGTTCGAGTCCCCGAAATTGAAAATCGCCTCAAATTCACATTTAGAATGACCTAAACAACTCAAAGTTGCCACCATTAGCAAAGGCGAGGCACATAATTACAGAAAGTTCACACGCATGAAACTTCACCATCACCTTGTTTCGGTCATGCCGTGAATTGTCCCACTCGCACATAGTTAGGTTGTTGCCCACAATTGACATATATGTTGATTGACAATTATTTTCCAAGCTCGAATCTCATTTTTCCGTTAAAATAAAACATATTATGTCCATTCGGTCATATAATTTGTTGCATAATTCTTCTACGTATGTTTCCAATCTCAAATACTGACTTATTTGATTGAGAATTCCTTTGATGACTGTTGTCTTCATGTCATTTATTTTTGTTTAGCTTTGAAGTCTAATCACTTTTTAGAGACAAGGAATGGTAACCCGCCAATCTCATTCAAGTGTTTAAAGTAATTCGTTAAAATGTTTAATCTTGATTATTTTGATGCAAACGTGTAAAATATGAAACGAGGAAATAAGCATTATAAAACGTTGTATGTGCTGAAGCTTTATAACACGTTGTATGTGCTTAAGTTTTATAAAACGTTGTATGTGCCTAAACTTTATAAAACCTTGTACGTGCTTAAGTTTTGTAAATAGGTAGTTTTTTTTTTTTTTTTTTTTTGAGTTTTAAGTAAACACTTTTAGTGCTGTTTATTTTTAACGAAAATGACATTTTTACTCTAAACCTTGTACGTGCTCAAAGTTTACAAGTCATTTTCATTTTTTTTTTGTTTTAGTGCCAAAGGTAAATTCTATTACGAGCAGAGGCTCAATTACAAGATAAGCACAATACAAATAGAAACCTTGAAGCAAAACAAAGCCTAAACCAGATTTTGAAGCGCAAAGTAGAAGGAAACAAAACAAAATGAGGGAAC